AGCCTGTAGCATGCCTTGCTTCTCAATTCTTCAGAGGGATGAGATACAGCTGTAGTCTGGTGTTATTCTTCAAAAGCATTAAAGCATAAAATTACCATTTATTGTGCAGTGTAAGACAAATTAAATAAGAGACAAAATGTATCTAATCTAAGTGAAACGTCTTTTTACTTTTAGTATAACTTTATTTCTTTAAAGAGACTATATTCAGGTCGGTGATGATTTAGGGAAAGGGAAAACCAGAACACCTAGGATAGTTTGCATCTACTTCTAACAACCATCATCAATCAGAAAAATGATATTATATGCCTTTTAAACAGAAGGTAAAATTATTGGAATCATTCCAATGTCAAGATGAAACCTTAAACTGTATGTTCACAACGGAGAAATTAATTCATCAACTTTACTACTGGATTAGAAATAGTCGTTTGCTCTGTTTAAAGGAAGAATGGGAGAATAGACAAAAAGGAAAGGATGGGTTCAATAGGGAAATTCTGGCACTCCCCAGACCTTCAGCTGGCACAGAAGCTGTGTTTATAATGCAAAGACAAATTCAGAAAGAAGGAATAAACTACACTTGTCACTAGTAATATACAGTGATTAATGGAGACTGAAAGACAGCTTTACTGTACCTTTAGAATGCATAAGAGCAAGATTATATAGATAGAAACCTCCATTTTCCCCAGGAAATAACCTAATTCTCATTTTAAAAATACTCTTTTTGGTCCCCTTTTTGTGTAAAATTCAACTTCCATTGTTTGCCCATATAACTTCTGGCAAGCGAGCCTAACATTCTACTTGCCTTTGAACATCTCTCTTTCCCATATTGAGAAGCATTTAAGGAATATGCTTCAGCTCTCCTTATAATGACCTGAAGGACAATCCAAATGCCACCAGGTCAGGGCACCATCACCTGCACTCCGTGGTTCTGACACTCTCTGACCAGGAAAACAAAGGAGACAGTTTAAAGACACAAACTCCAAAATCAAGGCTCAAAATGAAGGAACACCTTTAAACTTAATCTTAATCTGGTAATACTGGAAAAATAAATTAGAAGTAGTCTGACATCCATTTCATCCTGTGAAAGAGGATAAGAGCAAAAATATTGAAGAAGAACTGCTTTGTAATGCACAGCTGTAAGAAACAATCCTCAGGATATTTGACACTGGAATAGTATGGATCTGTATTTTCTTTTAAATCTGTCTTTTTTAATGTACCCTTTCTTCCCACAGCATTCAATACAAACACATCTCCAAATAAAAATAATTCTCTGCAGAATGACATTGATAATTACTTAGTTCATCAGCAAGGACTGAACAAATCAGTCTGAGAAAAAAAACCAGAACCATCTGCTTTCTTTCCTCTTGGTGTGAAATAAGGGTGGAATCAATAAGGGTGGTAGAGAATGCACTGCTCACATGAAACCACTTATTTAGAAACACAACAATATTCCTAATAAATGAGCAGGTCATGTAAGAACCCCGAAGCCTAAAAAGCAGGTCAGTGCTTTTCCAGCTATATTCCTCTTTCCAGTTACCCCTCATTCCTCTCAACTTGCTCCTCTTCCCTCAACACACATCTCATTCCATATCCTGCTCCTCTCAGCTCCTCTCTTTGTCTGCATTTGAATTAAACTGTTCCACCAGTTTTCTATTCTGCTGTAAGTCTGGGTGGACAAAATAACAACTGAAGGAGACACTTTTTCATTAGCTCAAGTGCCCATCAAACAGAAGCCTTGAATAGCCAAGGGGAACAATCACAGTCACAACCCTGTTAAGGTTTAATTTACAAACCCAAAGCAACAAACAACACGCACACAAAACCCTGCTTAACCAGTAAATTTAGGCTCTCTCAAATCCAGGTTCCTGTCTAAATTGTGTCTTAAAGATAATTTGGAAGCTCTAAGGCCCACAATCACACTGAATACAGTCGCAAGTCATATTAAGTGGTTAAGGTTTTTTCTGTATAACCAAAGAAAAAGCAACATGTGATCATTGTCTCTGGTGCAATATTCCTGGATTAGTAAAACAGCAGGACTCACATGGTTTGCACACAAACAGTAGGACAAACTGATTAAATAAACATTTCTAATCACATAATAGAGTAGTGGCTATGTATACTCACTCCCACTTTTCAACTTCTTAAGTAGCTAACAATTTTTTTGTCAAATGCAAAATGGAGATCTTCCACTCCAAACAAATTCTTATTTATTTTTTCCAAGAGCATTGCCTCCAATGTGAAATTCCTCTATGTAAGCAGAAAGCTTCTGGAAAATCTGCAATGTCCTTATTCTAAATTCCAAAAGCACAAATTAAATCATCTAATCTGCCATTTTAACCTACTGGATAGAGAAGGAGAACATTTTAAAATCCTTATGTGGTTTATTATGCCTGAAATGTTAGCAGCAAGTTTGGCATGCATCTCTTATTAATTTCTGAAAGTCTGAAGGACTTTACTACAAGTTTGCAGTACTTAACACTTGGGTTCTGGAAAGTGGAGAGCAACTGGACATGAAAACCAGGTTTCCCTCCCAGCTACTGCAAGACAATTCTATTTCCACTGAACAGTGTGAAGAGGATGAGAACTGCACAGAATCCATACCAGGCATAACCACATTCAGCCAGCAGCAGACACTGTGTCATGCCAAATCCCTTTGGTAAATAAACTTCCTTACAGGAAACTGGATATTAATTAGTTCAAACAATGATATATTCAGTGGTTAAGTTTTATGTTTCAAAAGGTGTAGCTACTGCCTGGAAGTCACCACCATAATAGGTTTCCACAGGAAAACATCTGGTTCGGCTAACATGCAGTTTTACAAGAGTTAGTTTATTTATGGCTTTTAAAAAATTCTTCATTTTCAGATGCTTCATTTCAGTCCAGGTGTCCAGTACGAATATATAGGCAGAGATTCCATAAAAGGTCTGATAGAGTTTTCCAGGGTCTTTTACCTTTTGTTATTATTTCAAATACTCTCTAATACAGTCACAACCAGGTACTGCACTAAATTTTACCTTTCAGCATAACACAAAACTCACTGAAATCAGTGTTCATTTTGCTACTGCATGAATGATAAACTTATATCCACTTCTGTGAACTAAAATTTTGCAACCAAAACTCTTGACTTATGCACTGTTGAACTAAGATTTTGTTAATGAAATGCTATGAATCATTCATTCCTTTTGCGATTGAATATCTAACACTGCAGTACAAGCTTGCAACCAAGCAACCAGAATCAATTTAACTAATTACAAATTTAAGCACTTGCATTATGGACTAGCAGCATTAAAATGAATAGAACTCGTCTATAAATCTCCACAGGCAAAAAATTAATCTCCCAGTTACCCTGTTTCTTTTAGAAGAATGACAATCCACAGTTCAGCACATCTGTAAAATGTCACAAAGTCCTGAATTCAGTTGCTTCTACAGCACAGATTTCTCACACAAACTGGGCAAATCAGAAATAATAGTTCTGACTTTGGAGGATTTGTTTTCCGAAAGATATGAAGGCACTTCACAATCATATCTGATGTAAAATCCAAATGTACACAAATTAGTTTTATGCACAAAATTCAAGTTTTTAATCTTTATTTGTACTGCCTATAGTGATTAAGAATGAGAATCTCTGGTTTCTGCCAGCAAACTGCGCAGCACAGAGGACTCTGGCAACTGTCCAGTACTCCACTACAGTCGGTAAGACTTTACATGGAGCAGTGTCCCTGAAGAATAACTTAAGAAAGATGACACTACTCATTATATCACTTGCTAAAAAGGAAATTTAAAATCAATCTAAATCTCAAGTGTACCTCTTGGAACAGCAACTATGCTTTTAATACATAACCATTTTCTGTTACTGAATTTCCTCTGTATTAACCCATAATTAAATACCAACACACGTGCACACAGGCATTAAAGAATTCCTCAAATTACCATGTAGCACATTTATGTGTTTTCTCTGAACTAAGTTAAATACCTCAGTATCTGTCTACTCACCAGAAAAGCATTTAAAACTATAAGCCTGAGGATAAATGGGAGGCAAAATAAAGACAAAGTAAATGAAGGGGTACATAATGATCTGTGATTTGAGCAAATCATCCAAATGCAATGCTAAATCTCACTTAGTTTTGTGCAATGGGTAACAGTAAAGAGGGAGATAATGGCCTGAAGAAATTTTTATACTTTACAGGTAAGACTGATGTCTATGTCAGAGCCTAGACTATCAAATGTCACCTGCTCATGGTATTAAACAAAGAGTTCTGTCACATGCAAACCCCACACAATACATTAATAATCATGTATTTCAATCTAGGAACGATATCAGAAAGAAGGGAAATTTATGCACAGTAACTCGCCTTTTTTCTCTGATCATGTTCCGTAGATGTATCACATCTCCTCTCTCAAGCAACTGGTACCTTTATTATGACTCAAGCAACTTAGTTTTAACAGAACTGTTTAGAGAACTGCTCTTCTTTTCCCAGTGTGTGACAGTGCGCTTACTTTCTGTCTCTAAATTATCCCACTTATGGGTGGCAATGCATTCATTTTAGAACGGAATAGATCAGACCAGTTGGAACAAAGATCATCTCCAACTGCCTGAGCTACTCAGAGCTGACCAAGCTGGAGATATTGTCCAAATGCCTCTTCAACAATGGCAGGTCTGATTCTCTGAGCTGTTGAGATCCCTCTATGAGGCAATTCCTCCCTCAAGAGTCAACAAGCACCTTGTTGTTTGCATATCAGCAAACTTGCTAATGGTGCTTTCAACTCCTTCATGAGAGCACTGATCAATGTCCTAGAGCACTGACCTAGACCCGAGCCCTGGGGGACAATCCTGGTCTGGATGCAGACCCATGCTGGTCTGGATGTAAACGCATCCACTGCAGCCCCTTCAGCCCTGCCCTTCAGCCAGCTCCTGGCTCCATGAACACGCTCATCACACGTGCCAGTGACTTGTACAAAAGGAAGCTCTGAAGGGCAGTACCACGAGCATTACTAAAATCTACATGCACCACCTTCCCTTCATTCAGTATGCAGGTGACCTTAGCATTGAAGATTATCAAATTAATTAAACAGGACTTTCTCTTTGTTAACTCTGTCTGTTGATAGCATTACTCTTTAAATGCCTTTCAGCAGTACCCAATATAACCTTCCCCATAATTTTTCCAGGAACTGAAGTTAGACTAACAGGTCTATAGTTCCCTGGGGTCTTTCCTCACACCCTTTTTGTAAATTTGGGTAACACTGGCAAGCTGTATTGCAAATTGAGATTATATTGGCTAGCTAGCTTTAATGGAACTCTAACAATATCTGTGTACCACACAGAATTTAAATATAAATAAATACAGTTTTGAGAAAGGGCTACTACATATTACATAATGTATACAATGCCATGTATATAAATTTATTTTATATACATCTGATAGTTCAGTTCTTTCATATTGCCATATTCCATTAACATTCAGTCAGCAGATAAATGTGGTTTTTTCATCGCAAATGGAGGGGGGGACAAAAGAGTGCATTTTACTCAGAAAACAGCACAGCTTTTTCAAGTGCCAAGACACTTGCCATTCTTTTGCTTTACCTAAACTATTAAAACTTACTGATTTTTGAGAGACCTACAAAATGGCAAAATACATTTAAACATTTCAGAAGACCCAGCTCTTCCCCAAACTCTCAATTTTCTCTCCTGTATCAGCAATTTTACTGCTATGTCTGAGTGCTTGCTGACATGCCACCAGGCATCTCTTCCTGTTGACGATTCTGACCTTTATTAATTCAAGTCTGTGCAATCTTCACCACTGATCTGTCAAAACTGACACCTTGTCACACTAAGATTTTGCAGGGAGCATTCTGAAATAGTTCACAGGGCATTACATTGAATCTACCTGATACCCAGAGAGGAAATTTACATCTTTTAGCTATTTCTTTTATATTTCTGTGGCAGGATGTCCATATATGTTTCAATTAATTTGCAAAACAGCTCAATATTCCAAAAGACTACAACCAATCCTAATAAGTGACCAACTGAATTATATTAATTTGTTTTTATAAAATACTTTTCAATAGCAGGTTTTTTTTTTCTGCTCAAAATGTATCCCTAATGGCAATAATGATAAACAAATCTTAATATCTTGAAGTTGGACCAAGTATAGTTTGAGGTCCTTATTCATAGGTTCAGTGTATAAATGTACTTCACAGGAAATAAAATAGCAGGCAAACAGTATAGCCCTGTTAACATCATCATTTGGGAAAGAACCAAGATTTGGAGAAATTGATGCCTAATATTCCACCAACGGAACTATTTACAAGCAACTGTAACAATGATCAGTTGTGGCTGCATTAGGCAACTTCAAGACTGACATTTCATCGGGTCTTTGCACTAATTCCCATAACACAGTAAACTGTGCTGCCATAAATATTCTTGCCTAGTTATAACATCGGGGTGGTAGTTTTTTTATAACCACCTAAAGCCAGCTTAATTCAAAAGGGTGACATTTCTGAGCATGACCTACACAAGAAATTCTTATAAACAGTACTATTTGCAGTATTTAAGTCTCTTAAAAGTTATTACTCTTATATTTTAAGTCCTGTACAGTGTGGAATAACCTCTGAAGGATGAAAGTGTATGAATACCTCACTATAACTAAGACAAACTGACTTTTTATCTGCTGTAGCTACACTGAAACCAGGGGAAGGAGGTACTAAGCTTACTCGGGCTGAGACTGTGTCAGAACCTGCAGTGCTTTTTGGACAAGACAATTGCCCACCTGGAACATCACAGCTGGGTCTGCATTACACAGTAATTCTTCTCAGTATGGGTGTACTCCCATTAGTAATAACATTTTGGCAAGTCACATAATGGCTGCAGAAATGTACAGGTTGGACTTTCTTCAATGACCTAGAACTTCTCCTCAGCATCCTACAGTCTTTAACATCCTCTTGGGGAAAACATACCTTTCATTATATGATGCATTCAGAAATAACTCTTCTGTGCCAGTACACAAGGATTTCTGAAGTGCCAAATGTAACTGGGAAACTAATGCTGCTGGGTGTTCTTGTTTGTTCAGAGGACATCCTCTCATAATTTTATTCCTGACAGAAATCATATGGCTAGTGTGTTCTTATGGACATTGTCTAAAACCACCATTTTGTTTAAGACAAGGTTTTTATTTCCTGTCTCTAAGGAGATTAGGGCAAAGGAAAGCAAAGACAAGTCAGAATTACAGACCAATTACAGACCACTCAGCTGTGCTTCAGCCCTGGGTAAACTGATAGAACAAATATATTAAACTGACTATTTATAAGCACTTGCAGATTAACTGTGAGATGAATAGCCACCAACACAATTTTCTTGAGAGCAAATCAGTTGTTTGAACAGCTCATTCTAACTTCCTTCAACACAAACCTGGTAGCTAAAAGGAAAGCAGGAAATATCACATCTTGTCTTTAGTAAACCTCTCAACAATATCTAGCCAGATTGTCTTGCACCAGCTGAACAGACAGGTTATGTGAAAACTCTGTAAGAGAGGTGAAAAGCCCATTGGATAACCATTAGGCACATTTAAGCATGTCCTAGTAATTATGGTCTGTCTTCAGCTGCAGCAAAAAGATTCCAGTTAAACGCTGTTAAGAAGTTTGAAGTCCAAGGGACCACAAAACAAAACTAAATTGCATAACAAGGTCAGGATGAAATACCACTAACAGCAGATGTGAAGAAGGACAGAATATTTGCTTTTCAGGATTTCTGACTTGATTTCTAAAAGAGAAAATTAAAGAGGAGTGGTGAATTCACCTCTAAAAAGATACATTTAGATAATTTACTCCTAGTCCAACATCTTCACTATCTTCTCTATCCTTTTTTGTATCTGTAGAAAACAGTGGTAGAAGTCTGGAAAAAAATAAAGTGAGATGCAAACTAAATCCTGTAAGTGGTTACAAATTGCAGACCTCTTTTAAAGTTATTGCAAATTTGATGATAAAATGAAAATCCACATAAAGCACCGATTTTCTAAAATCACAATTCCCAATGAGACTAAAAAGTGTTTGCCACTTGCAAGTATATTAATAAACTAAGGTAACCTCCAAATTAAACACCATAGTTTATCCTAAATGCAAATAAATACAGTAATCTCAGGAAACATAACATGCTGTGAACATTAATCTTGAATTGATATAATTCTTAATTCTGTTATCCAAAAAAAAGTCAGTCTTAGGAATGTCAGTGAATGATCACATTTTCTCGAACTGTGGTTCTAGCACTTGATACTAGCAGGGCCAGATTGATAGCATGACACTTCACAGCATGAGAAACCTGTAAATAAGCTGATTTATCCCCAACAGTGGCATTTGGACTATACAGGAAGTAGAAAATTCTCCTTCATAAATCTTTAAAATGTGTAAAAATATACTACAAATAACCAAAAAGCTAGCAAGAATAAAGTAAACGTTTCTATCAGAGCCATTAGGTAAATAGGATTATGCTAAATCTACTGGGAGAAAAAAGGAACAAATAAATAGCAAACTTGTCGTATCAGCATTGCAGTACTACAGAACATGATCTAGATTTCAACTACAATCACTATAACACGTGATTATTCATTGTCTTGAGTAAGAGTAGATACATTTAAGGCTGTGTCAATCAATGCATTGCATTGACACCTCCATGAAAACACAGTGCATGTCTCATACACAATTTACTTTGTGGATAATTCATCAATAGGTCAGTTCTTGACTTAAGATTCAGCTGCAGAAAACAAGCCTCCTGGGCCAAAGAGGGCACTTTATGATGTGCTGCACACAGAATCAGGTCTGATTTCTCACAGTGAGAAAATGGCAAATTATGAGCCTCAACTCTTCTGAGCTTGGCATAAAACACACGCAGTTCCATCAAGTGCAGTTTGCAGTCTGGGAAATCTGAAGTTAAACACAGTTAAACACCTCCCCTAGTCTCTAGAATGAAGCCTTTTTCTTGATAATGTTTTGTTTTTAGGCAAAGAATTTGCTTAGAGAAATAATCTAAGAAATGATCTGTTGGACAAGAAGATGAAACTGCATATCTTCTTTTCTGATATATTATTAAAAAGTATCACTGTACCACACACTTCATATTTCTACTAAAGAATCTTCCTACTCTACCAGAGATTGTTGGGCTTTTTCCTCCCTTTTTAGAACTGAAACGGTGTTAGAGGGTCTTTCCTACCTGCCTTTTTGTTAAATGTGGCTAGCTTTGAAGCAAGTATCTCTGAAATGAGGCAGATGGTGTATCCTTTGAAGTACTAGCTTATTCAAAGCAGAAGAAAAAAGGAGAAACAGCTCTATTGCTGTTACTTTATTATGCAATGCTCTTTTAATCTCATAGGGATGACCACAGAGAATCAGAAGATGAGATCATGATTTCTCCTGCCACTGCTTTACAAAAAGAGAAATAGAAGAACGAGGAACGGGTTCAGGCTTCTCAATATAGTATATGGAAGAAAAGCCTCATTGTAATGATCCACTGTCTCGCAGTGACAGCATATGAATGCCATAATGATTTTTAAATCATCAGGAACTACACAAGTTCCTGCGTTCCAGTCTAAAGAAAGATGGAACAGTAGAACTTATTCAAAGCATCAGTCTAAAGAAACAAGAATCTGTCTTCTATCATCAAGACTGGGCCAGCAATATCACATATTTTACAGGTCATTATAATCAGATCCAAAAGAAAGTTAACAAGTGACAGGACAAGAGGAAATGGCCTCTGATTGCACCAGGGGAGGTTTAGGTTGTGTATTAGGAAAAACTTCACAAAAAGGGTGGTCAGGCATTGGAACAGACTGCACAGCAAAGTGGTGGAGTCAGCACCCCTGAAGGTGTTTAAAAGATATTTAGATGTGGTTTAGTGGTGACTTGTCAATGCTGAGTTAGCAGCTGGGCTAAATGAGCTCAAACTTCTCTTCCACCTAAATAGTTCTAGGTTACTATGACTGAAAGATGCCAGTCCAAGCAAAAAATGTGCACGGTTGTCTTGGTTTGAAAGATGGGTATTTGTTAAGAAAGGCAGGAGTCTCTCTTGAAACAGAGGATGTAAACCTCCTCCCTCCAAATTATTATAATTTTGAAATTAAGGAGCTCTCAGGCTAACATATGGGAATAGGAATAACAGTTCTTTACAAGGAAAATTAAAATAAAAATACAGTAATACAAAAAGAACCAAAACACTGACAGAATCAGGATACAACGTGACACCCCATCACTCAGAGTGTTGGTAGCAGTCCCATTAAATGGTGGCTGCAGTCCTCCTGGAGTGACAGATGTGGTTCTGTTGAAGCAGAGATCATGTAGAAGGGTGCAGTTTTCCTCCAAAGAACCAGTGGTGATGTGGAAAAGGTCTGGTTTTTTTTCTCTGGAATCCAGTGGAAAAAGGCTGCTCTAATGCTCCAAATCCCAGATTTTATCTAGGTAGGAAATGCTTGGCTCCTCCCCTGGCTGGAGCATCTCCCAGTGGGATGATGTAATTTTATCAGTCATGCAGTGGAACTCAATGGCCCATTAACAGAAGATATCTCCCTAGAGGGAGGATGAGTCATGGAAAAGATAAAGATCACTGCCCCACCTGGTTTTAACAGATGATGATAGAATACATACTTTTGCTTACACCCTGCTTTGCCAAGACATTATCCACCTCTCATTCTATCACCATCTGCACCATACCCAAATCAATACCCTCTTTAGACTCTACAGTGAAACCTTACACACAATTCTCACTTAAGTTTAGGTTTCCCTGTGGTATACAATGGGTTTCTCTATCTTTTTGCATTACCCACCAAGTGTAACCAGGCCCTTGAGCAAAGACAGTCCTACGGATGGGTTTGTCTTTGCCTGAGGTGGGACTGATCCAAACAGTCTTTCCTAAAATATATTTCATGTGTGTCACAGGGACTTTATTTCCATTCACTGTGTGCAGGGGTTCAGACTGGGCAGGACCAGCTCGATTGATGGACCCTCAAGTGTTGACCATCCAGATGGCCTTTGCTAAGTTCATTTCCCAATTCTTGAATGTCCCTCTGCTAAGTGCCTTTAGGGTGGTCTTAAGTAGTCTGTTGCACCGTTCAACTTTCCCAGCAGCTGGTCCTTGATAAGGGATATAATATACCCATTCAATGCCATGTTCTCTGGCCCAGGTGTTGATAAGGCCATTCTTGAAATGGGTCCTGTTGTCTAACTCGATTCACTCAGGTGTACCATGTCTCCACAGGATTTGCTTTTCCAGGCCCAGGATGGTGTTCCCAGCAGTGGCATGAAGCACAGGGTAGGTCTCCAACCATCCAGTGTGGCTTCCACCATGGTCAGTACATAGCGCTTGCCCTGGCGGGTTTGAGGCAGTGTGATGTAGTCAATCTGCCAGGCCTCTCCATACTTATATTTGGACCATCGCCCCCCATACCAGAGGGGCTTCACCCGCTTGGCCTGCTTGATGGCAGCACACATCTCACAGTCATGGATAACCTGAGAAATACTGTCCATGGTTAGATCCACCCCTCGATCTCGTGCCCACTTATATGTGGCACCTCTGCCCTGATGACCTGAGGCATCATGGGCCCATCGAGCCAGGAACAACTCTCCCTTGTGCTGCTACTCTAAATCTATCTTTGACACCTCTATCTTTGCAGCCTGATCTACCTGCTCATTGTTTTGATGCTCCTCATTAGCCCGACTCTTGGGCACATGGGCATCTACACGATGGACTTTCACAGGCAGCTTCTCTACCTGAGTATCCATATCTTTCCACTCATCAGCAGCCCAGATTGGTTTTCCCCTATGTTGCCAGTTAGCCTTTTTCCACCTTTCCAGCCAACCCCACAGAGCATTGGCTGCCATTTATGAATTGGTATAAAGGTAGAGCTTTGGCCACTTCTCTCTTTCAGCAATGTCCAGGGCCAGCTGAACAGCTTTGAGTTCAGCAAGTTGACTCGATCCACCTTCTCCTTCAGTGGCTTGTGTGACCTGTCCTGTGGGGTCCTTATGGCTGCTTTCCACTTCTGGTTCATCGCTACAATGTGACAGGAACCATCAGTGGAAAAGAGTTTAGAATGTTTCATCTGCTGGCAGTTGGTTATAGGTGGGGCTTCCTCAGCCCCAGGGTCAGTTGTTCCCACTGTGCTTCGTCAGTGAGATCAAATTTTTCATCTTCTGGCCAGTTTGTAATTATCTCCAAAATCCCAGGGTGATTCAGATTTCCAATATGGGCGCGTTGTGTGATGAGGGCAATCCACTTGCTCCATGTGGCGTTGGTGGCATGGTGGGTCAAGGGAACCTTTCCTTTAAACATCCACCCCAGTACTGGTCGTCAGGGTGCCAGGAGGAGTTGTATTTAAGTGCCAATCACCTCTGAGATAACTTAAACTCCTTCATAGGCAGCCAAGATTTCCTTCTCTGTGGGACTGTAGTTGGCTTCAGACTCTCTGTAACTTCAGTTCCAGAATCCCTGTGGTCAGCCTTGAGTCTCTTTGGGCACCTTTTGCCAAAGGCTCCAGAACAAACCCTTGTTCCCAGTTGCAGAGTAAAGCACATTCTTAATCTCCTGTCCCGTCCTGACTGGGCCAAGGGCTACCACATGAGCAATCTCCTCCTTGATCTGGGTTGTAGCCATGGAAAGGGGTTTTAACCCTTTAAGTGTAGTAGAAATAAGATGCACAGCTACATGGTCATCTTTCATGATAGAAAGAAAGAGACAAGTTTATTCAGAAACACACTTGGTTTTATAGCATGACTCACAATTCCAAGAGTAGAGAAAAGGTGATTGGCTTAGAGAGAAGACACCCCATTCCCAGGGCCTGGTCATGCCACAACAGGTGTTCTATCTTGTTATTAATTCCTTTTTATTTTGACCAAATTATCACCCTGGGAGAAATTCTCCCTAGCCTTGAGCTGGACCAGCTTATTGGCTGGGAACAGAGCTGAAAAGCTCCAGCCTGGAATATTTTTCAGGCTGTAATTTTCTTACTTTCTCAATATGTGTCCCACACTGGGTGAAGGCTTGTTGTGGTTCAGGGCCCAAGTGGAAATCATTCTTCTTGCAGGTAACCAGGTAGAGAGGGCTCACAATCTGGCTGTACTCAGGAATGTGCATTCTCCAAAAGCCTATGGCACCTAGGAAAGCTTGTGTTTCCTTCTTGCTGGTTGGTGGAGACATCATGGTGATCTTAATGATGACCTCAGTGGGGATCTGGTGCTGTCCGTCTTTCCACTTTATTCACAGGGACTGGATCTCTCGGGCAGGCCCTTTGACTTCGCTCTTCTTGATGACAAAGCCGGCTCCCAGCAGAATTTGGAGGATCTTCACTCGTTTCTCAAATACTTCCATTGCCATGTTCCCCCACACAATGATGTCACTGATGTACTGCAGGTGTTCTGGAGTTTCACCCTTCTCCAGTGTAGCCTGGATCAGTCCATGACAGATAGTGGGACTGTGTTTCCACCCCTGGAGCAGTTGGTTCCAGGTGTACTGCACACCTCTCCAGGAAAAAGAAACTGAGGCCTGCACTCTGCTGCCAGAGGAATGGAGAAAAATGCATTGGCTGCCTTGGACTCCAGCTCGTACTGCAGTTCCAGCATGTTGGGCACAGCAGCGCTCAGCAGTGGAGTCACTTCATTCAAGGCACGATAGTCCACTGTCAATCTCCATTCTCCTTCAGATTTACGCACAGGCCAGATGGGGCTGTTGAAGGGTGAGTGGGTTTTGCTGACCACCCCTTGGCTCTCCAGCTCACGGATCATCTTGTGGATGGGGATCACGGCATCTCGATTCATCCGGTACTGCCGGCGGTGCACTGTCGAGGTAGCAATTGGCACCTGTTGCTCTTTCACCCTGAGGAGTCCCACTGCAGATGGGTTTTCTGATAGCCCAGGCAGGGTGTTCAACTGCTTAATGTTCTCTGCCTCTACAGCAGCTATTCCAAAAGCCCACCTGAGTCCCTTTGGGTCTTTGTAATAGCCGTTCCTGAGGAAGTCTATGCCTAGGATACATGGTGCCTCTGGGCCAGTCACAATCGGATGTTTCTGCCATTCCTTCCCAGTCAGGCTCACCTCAGCTTCCAGCAGAGTCGATTCCTGTGATCTCCCTGTCACTCCAGGAATAGAAACAGGTTCTTCCCCCACAAGTCCTGAGGGTATTAGAGTACATTGTGAACCAGTATCAACTAACGCCTCATATTTCTGTGGCTCTGATGTGCCAGGCCATCGGATCCACACTGTCCAAAAGATCCGGTTTTCCCATACCTCTCCCTGGCTAGAGGTAAGGCCCCTCTAACACTGGTTATTATTTCCTTCCTGGGCATACATACTGGAGGTTCCTTCAAGGGGATCTGGCAGATCATCCTCCCTTCTGCAATACCCAGCACCTTGGTGATGGGAAATTGAGGCTACCTTCACTTTAGTCAAAGTCCCTGGGTAAGTGTTCCCTCCTTGAATTGTCGCACCCGTGCTGCCAGGACAGAAGTGAGTTTACCATCCCACCTTCTCATGCCTTCCCCATGGTCATGCAGAAAGAACAACAGGTCAGCTTGTGGGGTGTATCCTTTCTCCCTTCCTGGGGGATGTTGGGCTCTAACTTTTGGGCCTGTGACTTGCACTGGTGCTGCATGGGAACTGCTCCTCCTCACCTCCTCTCTCATCTCCCTCATCTCCTCTTGGAGGCTCTTAATTACAGCAGAGACATGGGCCTGCATTGGGCCATTGATCATATTCTCAAAATTTCTAAGCTTGTTGGCTACAGAACCCACTGTCTCTGAGTTGTTATCAGCATTAATTGTTGCAATAAAGGTGATGTATTGAGATGACCCCTGGTTTGCCAGATTCCATAACACATGCCCTGTGCACTTGACCTTGTCAAAGTCATTATCATGCTGTCCATCCCTCCCAAAGAGTACCTCCAGTACTGCCACTTCTCTCAGCTATTGGATCCCTTCCTCAAGGGTCTTCCAGAACATTCCATGATGGTGCTCCTGCGTTCTCTCTCTGTGGACAAACCTCTTTCTTACACTCATTAAAAGCCACTCCTATAGGGAAAGAGGCTCTGGCTCCCTGGTCCACACCTGAGTTTTGGGTCAAGGGTCCAAAATTCCTTGCCTCAGTACTATCCAGTTGCAGTAACCAGGTTGTAAAAGCCTCTCAGCCCCGTTGTACAGTGTATTTTTGCAGATTACAGAGTCTTTTCTATGACAAGGACTCAGTGATGATTTCAACCTCTGGCTCCCCTGCTCATTGTGAAGGCCTTCCTTTCTTATCCTTATTAACTGGGTGCTCTGATTTCATCTTAGACTTCTTTGTTTCCACAGGGGCGACTGCTGCTGTCTGTGAGTGCCCCTGCAGTTCAGCTGGAACCTGGACAGATGTAACATCTGTGGGTCCCACTGCTACACCATCAGAGTCTCCCTCTTTAAGGCAGGGGGAGGGTTTCTCACCAGCTGGGGAAATGTATTCCATCAGCATCTCGCCCACCTCACTCATCTCCTTCACTAGAGCCTCCACCCAGTCTGGGTGATTTGTTCCCGAGGTGGGCAGTGTGGCAGGGTCAGGATCTGCAGCAGCATGCCTGTTTCCTGGGGTGGGTATCAGCGTGGTTATCCAAGTCAGTGTCCCCTTATCTCTGAATGCTAAATAGAACAGGCATATCATCAACATCAGCCACGGTATGATCATTAGCATTTAGAGAAAATTTGAACCCTTCAAAAATTGGTGGCAGAAACCCAAAAAGCTGGGTGAAGGGTTGGGAGAAAATTTTCCCTGGTGTCATTCCCTCACAGTAGGTACCATTATTAAAGTAACCCCCAAATCACACAGTTAGTGTGTGATAGCCCTGAATCCATGCGTCCACCTTCCACAGGAAGTTAAAGATCCATCTATTCCTCACCTTATTAACCTATAAAGCAAACTGGATAACAGCCACAGTAGCTTTAAATTATGGGGCCCATGTTTATATAAAGGCCTGCAAATGGGAGGAGTAGAGCCACGACCATGTGCTACCTGAACCAGGGTAAGCTAGACCACATGGTGCTACCCAATGAAGTTTCTATATCCAGCACAGAAAAATTTAGGTTATTCAAGAACTGTTACTCCTTTTTCTCCCGATGCCCTCTGGTCCCACGTTGGGCACCAAAATCTGTCTTGGCTTGAAAGACGGGTGTTTGTTAAGAAAGGCAGGAGTCTCTCTTG